AGGAATGCTTTGGAAGCAACACCCAAGGCAAAAGGGGTAACAGACCACGTCTTGGTGGAATGAGAAGCTTCCATAGCACAGAAAAGAAGTTCCCCCCTCCACTCTCACAGAGAAAATGATGCATTTGTACCCATTATAATAAAGCTGAACAGCTTAAAAAAAAAAAAAAAACATGCAATTGAGAAGTTGTAGTGTTAATGGCTGCTCTTTACTGGTGCCGTCTGTCGCTACAGTTTAATTCAAAGATTTTAACCAGGAAAAAAAAAAATTAAAAATTTTTAGAAGCAAAAATTTAATTCCTCAGTTTGTTGAAAATGCCAAACACCAAAACAAGAACTCACTCACTAGTTGAGTATAAAAGAGGGACAGTTAATATACGCTTCACTACCAGTTTAGTATGTCAAACTTGTAGCATCAGTTTCACTGAGGTACCACCCACTTCAAGATTTAATAAAAAAAAAAAAAAGACTATTTTAAACATTGAACTTTCTACAGTGCTGGAGAGAAGAAAGCATGAATAAACTCAACCTTTCAAAGATATACTTCAAAAACCTTCATAAAGATGAAATCTAATTTTGATGGGGTTAGATAAAGTCTAGGTCATGTAGTTAATCTAACAGTTTATTTTATCAAAACCAAAGTAGAAATATTCCACTGCATCTGTTGGCTTCCATCCAAATTGCTGCATAAAGGTGCCCCAACTTCTGTGAATCATGGAGTGCAATTGTCAAGAAAGCAGGATACTTAATGAAGCAAATGGGGGGGGGGGGGGGGGGGACACGACCACTCAAAGGTATTCCAGTGCAAGAGTCACTTTCTTGAGATACGCACCTATAGCCGCATGAAAGTGAGACAAAGCATCTGCTAGCTGTCCAGCAGCCAATAACTTCTTTCCCATTTCAAGTTGTTTTTCTACTTCTGCATTTATTCCACATTCAGCTCCTTAAAGAAAAACAAAAAGATCAAGGCTTTGAATGACCAGTTTTATGACAGCAAATGCATACAGTGATAGTACTATACATATAACAAAGTTATTGATATAGAGGTGGAAGTCACATCTTCCCTTACTAAAACAACCTGCAGCCTAACAAACACATAGCTTGTCTCCTCTGCCCCAAAAAGGAAGTAAATACATAAACACTGCAAAGCCACCACATTGGAAGAAGACATCAAATATGCATTTCTATTCCTGCCTATACATTCAGAAACATACTTTTGCACATCAAGCTTTATACATCAACTATAAAAAGTCTGACAAAGTACATTTCTATGTGGACTTTCAAGTTCAAAAGAATCTGGAAAAACACCCATAATGCACACAAAGCAAATATAAAAAGGCTTTAAGTTAAATTTCATGACCCTACTGAGAACTTAAGACTCAACTGAGAACTGTTAGCTACTTCAGAGGTTGGCTTCTCATTTACTGCACTTTCGTCTCATTTTTATCACTTCCAAGGCAAACTGTTTCCAGAGTGCAAATTTTGATATAAACAAAATTCTCACTCCCTTTTCATTTAACCAGTAGTATGAAAATCCTACTGAAAACATAACACTTTTAAAGTGCCAGTTCTAAAGCTAGTGAATTGCTGCTGCTCAACCAACAGGGAAAAACTACTGTTGAGAAGAAATGAGCAGCTGAGTGCAAGTACATGCTGTACAAAACATCAGTTCAGCCACAGAGGTTTTTCATTTGTACTGCTTCCAGCATTCTTCAAATCAGGACAGAATTTCACTACAGCTTACCAGTGTATGATTATTAAAACTTTCACACTACAAGCAGTTTCCTTTTATTAAAGGCATATCCTACGCATAAATTTAAGCAAGGTAAAATCCTGAATTAATACATTATTACATTAGAAAACAATGCACCACAAAAACCTTTCACACAGGTTTTGCATTGAGCTAATTCAGATACGCACTTGAATTAATCTTAAATATGAAAATGCAGCAGCACTTTGAAGTAGTTTCTTAGAGCCTGAATAAAAATTTTACGCTACACAGATTGAAAGGAAGTACATCAAAACGTCTCACACTGAAAGGTGATTAAACAAGAAAGTATTTGTAATGAAAGAACAGTAATTTCTGATCACCAAGTCACCAAGACTTTACCACTAGGAGCTCTCGGCACCCGGGATCTTAATTTAATTTTCCTTTCCTACTTATTAATACAGTTCACAATTCTTTTAATTCCACATTATAAGAAAATCGTTGAGCTGTCTGTACTAAAATGAACAAAATGCCCTCTATATCCACCGGAAAAAGCTCCATCTGCTAGAAGATTAATAATATTTCAGCAAATTGGATTCAAGGGCTTCAATTCAATTATTTGCTTTAGAACAATGACAGCAAATTCCTTTTTTTAATTAATGGAAATTACTTTATAAAATAAGCCCCAAATTTCCAGTTAGTAATTTTTTTGTTTAAATAAGATGAAGTTAAAATAGTAATTATTTATCATATAGTCAATTTGGGGATCTTATTCAACGATGCATTTTAAAATCCATTCTATTCATGTATAGCTCTGAATAATATATAAATAGCTCCACTGATAGTGAAGAAGTATTTCTTGACAGTAATTTTTTCACACGCAGTATTCTACTTCAAGGTAGCTTTACTATGAATGCCCAATTTTCAGAAAAATGGCCATTCTTCTTTGCCATTTTGCTTCTCCTCTGGCTTTAAGCTTTGATCACCGAGTAGTGAAACATCCTCTAAAATGATAAAGTAAGCATTGGAGAGGAAAAAAAACTAAACACAAATCACAAAACAAAAAACAACCAAAAGTGGAAAACAAAACCAAAACACACCACATATTTCCCTGGCTTTGGAAACAAATCAGATATCAAACCATAAATGACTTAAGTATTTAACATGAGCTAAAACAAACAAGCAAATAAATTCTTAAGCTTCATCCCTCCCATCTCTCCCCACATATGAGTATCTGCAATTTTTCAAAACCTGTCATTTTGGAGTGGTATCCTAGAACTGGGCTGTAAATTACTCTTTGATGAACTTTCCATCCACCTAAACAGAGAATTCAATTTTCACACAGTCTCAAGTATCTGAAGGAGTGACTAAATGTGAAACAAGGACACATCAGGATAGCTCCAAGAATAGATGTTCCACAATAAGATGTACCTATACTATTCAGCGTCTTTCATACACATGATGTGCAGCACACTTTTACAGTTACACAATACTTCAGACATGACAGCCATCTTTTTCCTTGAAAATACTGAAGATAATAAAGGACCTTTAACAGTAAACAGGTAAGAAAGGCAGAAGCAACATGAATAGTTAAATAAGGCAAACTGTAAAGGACTGCAGGTTCCCTGCAGAGAAAGACTAATTACACCAGACATACAATAAAACTTCCCTCTGCAAGTTGCTGAACATCATCATTTGATGAGGGGATCTCCAGAAGCAGCCTAAATAGTCAGTGTAGCCATGATGAAAAATTAAATTTACCATAACTATTCAGGAACACTGTACACTGACTTGAAAGTTGGGCTGTTTATACAAATCTATTGCTTACTCATTTTCTGGCTGTTATGCAAACAATTGCTCTAAATAAACCACCCCATAGTAGACATCCGAAAACTGTTAACATAGACACAAGAGTCTAAGGAGTCAAATTCTGTGTAGCCTACTTGGATACCTATTCACTCTTTGGTCTAGCAATGAGCATAAGGACTCAAGTTCAGCTGGAGGAGAAAACCAAACCAATCCCACAAAGCCCTTTCCAACAGATAGACAGTCATTAGAGCGAGCTGGATACCAAGGTCCCAGCACTAAAGATGAAGAAGCTACATATGCTCCAGCAGGAAGCTAAATTTATGCAAGAGATATGCAAGCATACTATTTATTGTTAAAACTTCCCAGTATTTTAATTTGAACATTATTTCTAAAGCCTGCCTAAATGTTCTCTATTCACCAATGACCTCAGACAACCACACACATGAGCCCCAGCTGTCAAATCAAATCAGATATTCTGGATAAATTCACAGTCTGTAGTCCTGGCACTGATGCAAGCGTGAAAGAGTGAGGGGAAAAGAAAAAAAACCACACACAACCAAAAAAACCACACCAAAAACCATACCAAAAACCCAACAAACCAAAACCAACCAACCAGACCAAAATGAAACAAAACGCAAAACCTGCTCTGAGATAAGAATTGGCACCATCCCTGACAACTCAAGGGAAGTCAGTCAGAAGGCACAACAAAAGATAAGCAGGTGCAGCTAACCTGTTTTTCCAGTTAAATACACTCACTTCAAATAAACTGTAACTTCCTGATAGGATTTTTGTTTTATTAAGAATAACTGGTGGTGGGTACCTAAGCATATGAACTTCACCTATATCCTCATATAATCAGTCATATCCACAGTGTAAAATGCTTAAGAAAGCCCTTCAATTTCAAAACAGTTTCAAGATTTTACATTTGTCTACAGACTCCTCTTTTTCCGTGTAGAATTTCCACACACTTTTTAAATCTCATCCCCAAGCTGAGTAATGGGACTATGAAAATAAACAGAAGTTATTCTGACTGCGTACTAGAAACAAAATTGTATCAGAGACAAAGAAGAAACATGCATGTCATTAACCTTAGTTACAATTAATTTTATTTTTTTAAATATAAAACAGCTTCATGATTGTCTCGTCTTTTTTGGGTGTTTTTTTTTATCAGAATGACCCTGTGTTTAGCACAGTAACTGCTAAGTTTGCCGCTATTTTTAAACAGGTTTGGGCTTTGCTTTTATGTGTGTTTGCAAGTGTGTTTTTCAATGACAAGACTTAACAGAGTAAGAAGTGGACAAGCAACCACAGTTTCAGGAGCAATACAAACAGGCTCACAAGGAGCCTCAGAGCATCCAGTGAGCCAAGTGCAACTTCCACCCATCAAGTTTTTACTCCCTCCGTTTGCAAAGAATGTCAATAAATGTAACTGAGATTGGCAAATCAAAACCAAATCCCTCTCCCCCTCCAGAAAACTAGGGCTTTTTCCCCCTCCCTCACACAAGTATCCTTTGCAATTTGGGGTGAAGAAAAAAAACCAACAACAAACTCCCACATTCAGGACAGAAACATACGGTGTGGGAGGTGGGGATGAGAGAAACAAAGTTAGCAGCCTGACAACAGTGAAGTGAGCCCTAGATACTTAAATCCCATTTTTTCTTCCCCTTATTACATACCCTTTCTTTTACTACTAGGAAGGAGAGGGGGAAGAGGAACAATACTCCTCTATCTTCAGCTGCCTCTTTTTGTTGTGATTAGTGTGGACAAACATCCGTGAAGGATGAATCTTCCCAAGAGGTGATTTGTGTCAAATGGGAGCTTATACCACACAAGTCAGAGTATTTGAAGAAGAGGAATTCAGGAAATACAATAGTAAGGGCTGAACTGCAACCTGCCACATCACCAAGTATTCAAAAACCTTTTTATTGAACTCATTTACCAACCAGATATAAATTAGTATTCATAGATATGGACTGTAAGGTACAAAAATTAATACTGGCTGACTGTTGCACTCATTCACAAATCAGATGGCACAAGGCAAACTTCAATTATCAAGACAGCAAGATGCAAATTTGAATGTGAATATGAACACCTTTGAGTTCAAAAGACCAGTAATATTGGGTAAAAAAAAAAAATCCAGACACTTAAATAATGTAAACCTCCTAAATTCCCTAAATACATACTCTGGAAAATGCACTCATGAACTAGGAGGTTCTAAGCTAAGTTCAGTAAATAAGATCCAGAATCATCACTTCTCTATTACTGTACTGTACATCTTTATTAACTGTTAATTAACCATTAACTTTATTTATTAAGAAAAATATACCACAAATTAGGAATGTGGCTTTGGTAAGTCCACGTAGCCATTAAGCCATGTAATTGAAATAACTTGACAACTCCAAATAAAGAATCCTCAGCAAAAACATCACTGCCACAATCTTGGGGGGGGTGGGGGGAGTATACTTTGACCACAATTATTATTTTTCCTCTAATACGAGCAGAATACACATCCAAAAAAGCAATTCAATATCACAACATGTAGTCTTATACTACAGAACATCTTTGCCACAGCATGTTTCTGCTGCCACTGGGCCAGCAGAAGTATTTATTAGTTTAGTACATCAACCGAATTTCTAACATCAAGCCCAGGTCAGTGTTAAGTCTACAGACTTATTTTGACTATTGAGAGCTTCAGTTCCACTTCAAACGGCCACTGACAGTTAAAGAATGTTCCTACAGTGAAACTCTGATTAGGTGCGCAATTGTATAACCAAGTTATAAATTTAACAGGAGGTTGTGAATAAAAGTTTGATCATACAGGTGTTGCTGACAGCGTACTCTGAAAGCAAACTGGCCGCACAATGTGCGAATAAAGTTCTCTGATGAGCTTCAAATACTAATAGTGGGAGAAGAAAGAAAAAGAACAAACCACAACAATGAAACAAAAACATAAACAAAGACAACACAACTGTCAAAAGCCTCAACAAATTTGTAGGTCTGACACTAATAAGGGCTATGGCTGAGAGGGACCACTGAAAAAGATTTTGAACTTGGAAATTTCATACAATTCATATAGATGTGAGAAATTCAAGGCCAGTACGGAACTGGCCGATGCTGTCACATGGTTGCACTCGAGGACACTATGACATATTCAAGACCTCACAGTAGCTGGCACTCTATCAGCAGGCCAAGGAAAATGATGCATGCATCAAGCTACCTTAAACAACACCGCCAGGAATTCAGATTAAACCAAACAGGTTACAAGCAGCGACGGTGCCCTCAACACACACCCTTCGCAACGGCCTTGATGAGGTGGCAGCTCTGTACCTCCCTCTTCCTCACACCCTTCCCAGAAATATCCTCCCCCCCGCTCCAGGACGTCCCGCGGGGACTGCCCCCCGCCATGGCGGTGCCGTCCACAGGCCTCCCCACGGCCCGGCCGGCCCCGCA